ACTGAAGCCTACACTCAGGAGGTTGGATTAATGTAGGCTAGTGCAAACTGGTACACACAACTTTGTTGTTAGGAAGGGTTTAAACAATAATATAAAAGCTTTGAGCAGGGATAAAGTTGCCACACAACTCGTATTTAAACTGATATCTCTCAAGGTCACATAATATATCATCGTCAACAATATCTTCATCCATGCATCGCACATAACTTACCTACGAGTCAATAGACTGAAGCGATGTCACCTTTCACCCGATAACCTAGTCGCTGTGCACAACTTGGTAATAATTGAGTACCAGAAATCTTCCTCCGGATGTCGAAAACGTCGAGATAATATACAATTTTGCCTAACAATCAATAGTTTCCAAGTGTTTTACCACAGTTTCAGATCAGTTTACGTCAGCGCGGTTTTTGTTATCGGTAACTAAGCTAGTAAACAACTTACATTCCAACGACATTTGTTGTCAAACGTACGTGACAGCGTCCAGTAGGCTGATATCTACGGGGGAAAGTTCATAATTTGAGCCCGAATTGCTAAAGTGACCCGAAACTGGATGAGAGCAGTGAAATGCAGAGCGAATCAGGCTAGTTTCTGTACTCCATATTGAACAGTCATTGCCAAAGAAGCACCGCCCATCCCGGGTGTGAGCATTCTCCAGCAGCTCAGCCATTTGCTAAACTCGGCGCTTGTCAAGGCTATCTCAATTTTGATTGGGCAATACTAACCCCCGCCCAATTTCCCAACCACCAGTTTTGCAGGTGGCTGCTGTTGATAGTAGCACAAGCACAGACTACTAACTAAATGTTGGGAAATGTTGGGGAAGTCTGTTCGCATCCCTTATTCACACTGCTGCATTGTAAGCCTGGCTTGCTGAATATTGACCTCACAAAGCCTTTTAGAAAGAAAAAACACAGCAAGTTGTATATTTTTCACCACACACAAGAAAAGATAATTTATTTTTGTTAGAGCAAAATGGTCATTGCAGCATGAAGGCTTGCCTGTGTGAGTCTGCAAAGGACCTATTTTCTGTCACTGTGGCACAGCAAACTCTAATAAGCACTGCTTTCCTCAGTAAGATGTAAACCCAAGGGTCCAAGATTTGATTCCAGGATGCCATACGTAAGCCCAGAAGAATGAAACCATCTTTCTCTTGGGTTGAGGTTCTTTGTTTGAATTGCATCACAAGAATATGGATCTATTTGGAAAGAGACACAGAATCAGTCATACTATTACATTATCATTAACAATATTCTTAAAAACACCGGACCAATGTGTAATGGTTCTGGAAACAAATGATACAATCTAAATGAGTACTACTTACAAGAAAGGGGCTCCAACATACACAGGAAACCACAGTGATTACTGCCAGTTGCACCATCATCTCCACATTCAACGAACGAGAAAAGGTGGAAGATGTGGATGATGCACGACGAGTACAGCGAGCTGCTGATTTTGTATTTACATTGTGGGACTTATTCCTGGCTTGCAGCAATGTCAGACCACTCAGGATATTGCAGAGTAGGGAAAAAGTAAGCGCGGTAAGACCCAAACATGAGAAGGCCAGAGCCAAATTGGTGTCGGCTGTAGACTTTGGACCATGGATAGGTAAGAAACACCATGTACCAGGAAACTGGGTAGTGTAGGTGCCCACCTCAAATAAAGGTAGAACTGCCAGCACAAATGCAAGAGAGGACAGCAATAACACAACTCGCCACACATGACCCAATGTGACCATAGCAGCGTGGAAAAAGGGCCGGGTGATGGCCACACAGCGCTCTACTGCCATGGCAAAACCCAACAGTAAAGGGCATAAGCCAAAAAAGACCATGCTGGCCCCAAATATCTGGCAGAATACTTTGGTGGGCTTCACGGCCTTCATTTGATTCATCTGATCCGTGTGCAGATACAAAGCAAATGCGCCCGGGATAACATGACCTGCAAGATCAGCCAGAAGCAAAGCTACTGTAAGAAGCAGAAATGGGGATTTGGATGGGCGGCGGAATCGGACACGGGACTTAGCCAGGATGCCCAGAGCTGTGAGGTTGGAGATGGCGCCAAATGTCATAGTGAAGCAGGACACCCCCAAACTTGACGATTTCATAGGTGGCAAGGTGCTGCTGTTCAGCCAGGGACCCGGCTGCTCAGAGGAGTTCATCTTCAGGTTCTGCAGAAGGATGGATGGCGTAGAGGTAGAAAATGTAGTCATAGACGCTGTTCTCATCTTCAGTGTTACCTATGGAAAAATTGCAGGCAAAGTATAAATGCTTCCAATAATTCAAACAAAGGCAGTGAGTGATAGTTTCAGGCAAGGTTTTTATATAATCTTTTCTGCTTTTAAAATGTGTCTCGAGTTATTCATAGACAAGAGAGGTCTTAAATGCAAAGTTGTGTACGAGTGAATGCTACATGCTTCTCTGAGCTACTCAAATAAATGTGGTCTGCCAGTGACACTAAAGATTTAGACCATAATAAGAAGAGAAGCTACTGCAAAGGAAATAATAAAGAGGAATGGATGAAACACAGCCTGAACTTTTTTTCTGTGCAAGCACATGCAGATTGAAGTGTTTGCTTATACATTGATGGATTCTCACAAATTCTAACAAATTCAAACCATAACATGGAAGATACAGAAAAAACCCCATCAATATAAGGGATTTATGGCAATGTGTCATATTTGTAGGATATTTTTAGAATTGTGCAGGGTGATTATTTCTTCATAACTGTTGACAGTCACAGACGGTGGACAGATTTGTAACGAGACACACGACATAGGCCTCAAATACAGAACAAACTATGCCAATTGCCCTGAGGAGAGAATGATCAACATTTACTAATCTTTCCTGTCATTTATGGTGTGGAAATATAGGGAACTTATGTTATTTCTGCTGATTTTATGTGTGTAGTTTAATTTCTCATCTGTATGCTGTTTCACAAAAAGTTTAACACATTTGTTTCCACTGCTCAAATTGCTCACCTGCTATAATCCTACCTGGCTAATTGTTATCTTTGCCACTCTTCCACAGCCAGTTGCTTAGTTGGTTCCTTAACTCATTATTCCCAGTTTTCATTTAATTTCGGCTGAACTGTCATAATGTCATCAGATTGCATCAGATTGCCTAGGCTGGAAATAGAGGGTTTGGGTTTCAAATGTGGAATATGCTACACAATAACACAGAATCACACCCACATTATTAGAGCTAGTCACCAATTACAAAGCTTTAAATCAAACCTAAAGAGAAACTAGAGGCGTGGATTATTTTAAACTGCAATCCTTGTTGAAAAGTCTTGTTTTTGTTTAGCCATCATTTTGATCTCATTAAACTTTAACCTGCAGAATGTTCCAATGTGCATTAGCGATTTTCATCCCGATACATCAGGCATCAGACACTAAGCTTGATATTTGTAACCGGTTAATTGATTCTCACTCTCCAGACTTAGCCTTTTCACAGAGGCACAGCAAAAATGAAAGAAAAAACAAGAAGAAAGTCAAAGCTGTAGCTACAACGTATCTTTTTTTCTTCTATCTTTCGCAAACACAGCACAGCGAACAGAATCCGTAATCTGCTGTTTACATAAACCTCCACATCATCTATTAAGTTTACAGACCTTCAAAGGTTCTTGCATTCCTTTCTGTTATTTCTGGTATTGGGGTATAACAAAACAAAGCTGTCGTGTTGAACATGATATTATTCAAATGGATATTGTATCTTTTCTTTAACATAAAGACAGAATATTTTGTTATTCTTCTTTTACTGTGCTATTTAAACAAGACAAAACATGTCTTAACATCCAAGCTATAATGAAGGAAATCACAGGACAATGGGGTAGTGCCCTTTATGCATTACCCATCTCTCAAATATGTAAATACGGATGTCTGAATCCCACTTACTCACAGTAAAAGTGGATTAACTTTAAATCAGGGAGAAATCCTGGATTTCCTAAACATTCACCGTCCTTGAGAGTAATTTGCACCTGAGAAGAATATAATATAAGTGTGTTATCTATGAGGTAAATCACCAAGAAATGGTTATGAATTATAAATCAAACTTACCTTCAAATGACTCCAACTGAACACTGGATGAGAGACGACAAATGTATTTCTCTTGTCCACAGATCTGCATAATTTACTATGTTCCGTAATCACTATTGTTCACAATCATTTGCTCTCGTTCTCCTCCCTTTCTTTCCCCTGCCTCTCTGATAGATTCCCTTTCTCTCTGGTCCGACTTTCTCCCTCTCCAGAGACTTGGCAGCTATTTTATCTCTATATACCGGATCTGCATTTTCCATCCTCTTTCCCTCCCTGGAAGTAGTCCTTGCATCTATTCATCTTCTCTGCTGATCGTTTGAGCCAGGGGGGATCTCAGTCATTACTTTTGGTAGTATTGATTCAGTGCATGCTGAATAATTCAACAGTTACAAAAGTCAGCTATTGCGAACATTTTCTTATTTACTTTCTCAAATTCGCAATGACAAATGTATTTCCCTCAAAGCAGAAACAAATTTGAGTCTGTTACTCAATGATGATTATCACCCAGTGTCTGTCACATAAACAGAGAGTAGGCACAACGAAGGACATCAAAGGAGTTTGAAAGAGCATGATGATGATTAGGTGCCTCAAGGGTTTCTGGTATACTTGTGCATCACGTGCATCAGTACCAAGGTTTGTGATGTTTAAAGAGGGATTCATCTGTTTTATATATATTGAAACTAACAGCAAAATACTTCTTTCAGGAGTATACTTAAGGTTTGCGCATTAATATTCAAGTATCAATTTGGAGATTTCAGACTTGTTGTTGTTGTTGTTGAGAACATCCTGTCCGTATTCCACGCAAACAGGAAGGAAGAGGAGATAATCTTCTATTTCCTCGGTATGTGCAAGTCAAGTCAAATGCTGTTGGCAAACGTAAAAGTGTCAGAAGATATGAATAAAGGATGGCTCTTATTTTGTTGATATCTTGTTACTATTTGTAATCTTGCATAAAAAAACTTGAAAGAAATCCTTTATTTGTTCACAAAATCTTTATTGTATATTTTACATCAAATGATTCAAGGCCAGTCATGCCTACATACATTTTTTTGACCTAACATCAGAACTTGCTGCTAAAACCAGTGCTTAAAACGAAAATGACATTGTAAAACACAAAAATACAAAAGTTATCTCTGAACATTCAGGTTTTGGAACTAAGTAAATAAAAATGTTGACATTTAACATGTAAAAGCACGCTAAATGGAGCATAAAATACAGTAACTTAATATAAATACTCAATTTGGTAGCAATATATACACAAAAAATACATTAAAAATCTAATATTCGTCCTTCTTTGTGGTGGTCATATTTAGATAATAAGTTCCACAGTAAAAAGTGCTTGTCTAAGAAATATCTTTTAGATTGTCTTTGCATGTTGCATAAAGTACCATACAACATATACCTGATAAAACAGGTGTTGATCAATTTTCAACAATTCTCTCTTAAAAGTGCTGTTTGAATATCAAAACATCCAGTTTATTTAATGATATGACTGTCGAATGTAATTTCTTATTTCTTAATTTGTAATAAATAAATTAGTCAACGTTTCCTTTTTTAATAGCTTAAAATGCAAATACCCACTCAATAACAAAAAGAAAAAAAAGTCATGAAAATGTAAAGAAGCATTTACATAATTTTGCAATGAAGCTGGTGCATTGACTACACGTGTCAGGGCAAAAGTAAGCTATACATCTAAGATGGCCGTCTTCTTGAAATAAATCAGACTTGTTAACTCCTCAGATGCGAGACTCCCCCGTGTCGTGGGTGTTCTTGGATGCCTGAGTAACGGGAAAAAGACATGCCGATGAGTCACAACAGACATTTCAGTATATATTCTTTCTTTATCAGGACAGCTCTGTTCTGACACCCTTCATTTTACATCTCCTTAAATACCATGTCATCTTCAAACCATGGGAAAATACTATGTGTTTGCCTTTAGGAAGCTTTCCAAGTAACCTTCCGATGACTTAACTAAATTAAGTGTCCTCAGCAATCTAATTACAGAACAAATGTTGAACTATGCTGTCCACATGCATGCAAATGTTTGACTTAATTTTACGGTTGCCTGGCGAGAAATTAAGGTTATTTATCAAATGGTACAACTATTTTCCAGAACTTCTTTCTTTTTAGATTGTGTGTTTTATTAAAATATGTAGCAAAATGAACTTTAAGTAGAAATCAAACTGTACTATCACATACATGAACATTTCTATGTTGCATTTTGTTAAAATTACTAAGTTTGTACTGCAAAATTCTGGATACTACGTAAATGAGACACACTGAAGTAAAATATTACAAACTGCTTACACGAGCTTTGCTGGTGTGTGAGGAGCTTAAGTCAGAGTAACTCTTCTTTCCAGGTGCACAGCATATGGACAGGATCTTTCCATATTCTTCCCTCACCTAAAATTAGAATACAAATCAAGTTTTGACACCAGAAAAACCAGCAGAGCCTGGTTTTTTCTATTTCTGAGAGGAGGAGGCTTGACAAACCTGTTTTGAAAGCAGACAGTGCATGACAAAGAGCAAAAACCCCTGCAAGCTGCTAAAGATGGTGAACAGGTATGATATGACTATTGGCCCCCCCCTCAAATTGGAAACAACCAAAGATCCACATGGTGCCCAAAAGCGTCAGCTGAGCCACTGCAGTGATGATGAACACCCTGCAGGAGGCAACAAAGATACACACGGTTCAAATCTGGGGCACTTTGTTCCAAATATATATGTCAAATAAATGTTACCATATTTATACACACTACCACTTCCACACAACCACTTCCACACAACCACTTCCACACAACCACTTCCAAACACACACACACACTCACTTTATTTTCTGCAGATTGTCTAAGTCAGGGTTTAAACTTGAGAACTTCTGCGCCAACTTCCACACAGTGATGAGAAAGAAGAAAATGTTTACCTGAAAGGCAACAAATAACAACGTTAATTTTTTAAAAGAAGCCCTTTGTCAATTTGAAGGACATCTTTCAACTCAATAATTCTACTTACAACAATGATGACGCAGGCAGGACCAAAGAAACTCCAAATGAGTTCCAGGTTTAACCAACAGCTGCAATTAGTAATGAGAGTTTATTTAGCAGAGGTGTCAACATAACCTGGTATTCGGGGAAAAATCAAACAAGTGGAGGCAACTTACTATCTCTTGGTGCCATATCCCTTGGCATTAGCTAAGGCAGAGACAGCGACAATAACAGCTGGGACTCCATAACCCCCTGCCATCATGTAGAGGGTTTTAAAGCTGGTGTTGAAGACCAGGACCACCATTCTGAAGAGTTGTATGCCCTCCAGACACATCCAGCAGAATGCTGCCAGGAAGAAGAAATGCAGCAGCCCTGCTACCACTGCACAGCCAACCTGATGCAGAAGGAGATGAAGATCATGATGACAGCAACGAAAAAAGGACATATAGGATGCTGAGAAATGGGGAGAAAAAAAGTGCAGAAACTTCTTGGCGATCAGTATCCACATAAATCCTTCAATAGCTGTGCTGTTATGTGTATATCACTCTGCTGTTTTCGAAGGTATCAGAAATGTTACTGCACCCATCTTGACAGTACAAGCTGTTATTTTGTTTGTATTTACCCGGTTCTCAGTACGAGAGATGCCTGCAAGGAAGATAAAGTTGGCAATAAAGAGGCTGATGCAGAGGTGCAGGTGGATGGTGGTTCTTGGGCTTTTGATGGAGCGGATCAGTGAAAAGGTCAGGATGCAGATAAACAGGCAAATAAGTGAAAGGGACAGACCCACCCAGGTGATCAGCTGCAACTCAAACGTGTCCTGTTGGGAGAGACGGAGAAGACATTACAGTACACAGACATGGATTGATGTTTCATTTGTAGACTCTGAATAATAGGCATCATGATTTGCTTTGTAATATGAGAGTGCTAACCTTTATTTCATGGAGTGCCATGAGCACAGCGAAGCTGCTCAGATGGTTGCAGGAGCACACGGTGTAATTAGGGTTGGACGTCAGCACACTGCAGCCACGAGCAGACCATGACCCTCCTTCTTTTGAAGAATCCCAGAACACACAGGTGTGGCTCGATTCATTTGACTGTGAATCAAAGTAGATTAATGACTGTTATAGAAACAATATTTTCATGCAAGGATTAATCATCATCCTTATTGGCGAACTAGTTTCTACCTGTTTGAGATGATCGAAAGTCAATATGACAGGCTCTTTGAGGTGGCTTGTGTTTCTGTTACTGACAGTGACCGTCACGACTTTGGAGTTGATCTTATAGCTTTGTTCCTCTTGACGTTTCATTCCGCTAAAGAAACCATCTGCAGAATCTTCCAGGTTTGCATAGCTCAGAGATGACACTGTTGTAAAGCCTTTCAGAAGCATAAAAGGATCAAACTGGATTAGGTGGTTATTCATCACATTACATAAGTTATCTACAACTTGATAAAAGTGGTTACATTTCTGTTAATCATATGCATGATGATTACCAGGGTAATAGGAGGGCTCTCCAGCAGCTGTTTTCAATGATATATTCAGATGAGCTCCCTTGGATGAGAAAGTCTTGGTTCCCTGGGGAAAGTCATCCCCCTTTTTTACCAGCAGCTTCAAATCTGGATCCAGATGGATTATAACATTGTTTATGAACATGCATTGCAACTGTCTGTTGAATACTGTAGTTGACTTGAGCACAAAATAAATCTACCAGCTGTTGAAATACACGGCATCAGAAAAGATGTCAACCTAATGGAGTTTTCTTTGTACCTGTGTGAGTTGAGGTTATTGCTGTCCAAGGGGCCTTAATGAAAGGTGCTATGAGCCTCAGAGTTTCCTCCACCACGGTCAAAAAGATGGAGACTTTCCTGTTATCTTTGAAGGCTCCACCGGACAAGAGCTTGTCGATCACATCCAACAGTTGCTGCAGCCACAGGAGAGGAGGGGTAGAGGGAGCAACATTAGTGTGTGCCGGGAGAAACAGGAGACAGAGTCGGGTCGAGGCAGACTTTCAGGCTGCACACCAACTCAGATCAACATAAACAGTCTACATAGCACAGACATCTGAACACCATGTGACAGGGCTTCAACGGGTGCAGAACTTCCTGTTTCCGTTGTTTCTGCAGAACAAAATACTTTTTTTGCATTGTCAAATTGCATTTCGATTTATAAATGCTCAGAAATATACCTTGAGTATTCCCTCTGCATCCAGTTCTTTTGGATGTTCACTCACTGCAAGCTCCAGACAGCTTTCTTTTAACTGCATCACGAGATCATGTGCATCATGAAATTCCTGTGAAAGCAATTTTGGCAGAATTAAACAATAGTATCAGGAAATAGACCTTAAAAATACAAGTGGAACTGTGATAAAAACAGATGTTACCTCTGTCAGACTGATCTTATCGTTGAATACATCACAGTTTAACTCTGAGGAAACAGGAAGTTTTGCATCATGAAACGCGTTTGCTGATGACTATAGCATTGAGAATGCCTATACTAAGGAAAATGTTATTTTTATATATTTACTGAGCAAACACCAGTTATGTGATGGATGTTGGAATAGTTGAGAGCTGCTGTGTTCTTACCAGTACAGCGAGACCCATTGTGGCCATAGTTAGTGAACCCTGCATGGCATGTACAGTAATGCCCGCTGGCTCCATGGTAGCAGGTTCCATTTCCGCAGATTGACGTGCCAATCATACATATGTCTAAAATGGAGACAAACCAGGGAGAGGAACATTTTTGCACTTTGTTTTAGTCAATTCTAATTAATATCCTGGTCCACCTGAACGTCCATGTCAAAAATGATAAAAAAAAACAATAAACAAAATCAATAATTGAACATTACTTTAAATGTTGGTTCCATGTTTGTGGGACAATGAGACTCATTACTGGATTTTAAAATGATATGTTTGCAGTATGTCACAGCTCTTACCTTCACATTGCTCCTGATTACCAGATTTCAGTTTAAAGCCAGCATTGCAGACACAGTTAAAATTGCCTTGTGTGTTGATGCATTTTGCATTCTGACCACAAACATCTTCCTCTTCACATTCATCAATATCTATATATGTGTGCAGGAACGAGATAAGAAAAGATGTGAGATCACCAATGTGTTTTCACCTCAAACACATAAGAGAACAGCTATATATACAACCCACAGTATTATCTTTATGTGAGGGTAGCTTACTGATAATCATCTTACCTCTACATGTAATGTTGTCACCGTTACGAAAACTTTCCATTCCAGTAGTGGAAATGAATCCAGCCTCACAAATGCAGGAATATTGTGGCATTGTGTTAAAACATAAGGCATTAGGTCCACAGAGGCCTTCGTCTTCCAAACACTCATTGATATCTTAAAGTAAAAATTGCATACAGGACTTTTTTAGGTACATGACTGCATCAGTAAAACTTCAGTTACATTTGAAAATGAGTGTCTGCTATCCTCGATTGAACCTACATGATAACTTACCTTCACATTTGACAGATGTTGCTGCGGAGAAATTTGCAGCCCCTGATGTGGATTTGTAACCATCCTCACAACTGCAGTAGAAGCTGCCAATCGTGTTGTGACAGACTGCATCTTTTACACATAGCCCTTCAGGATTTTCCTCATCAAACTCACATTCATCGGTATCTTAATTAAGGAAACATGAATTGAAAAGAGGATTGATGCAAACAAGATATGTTTTATCCTAAGAAAAAAGTGTAGGTGGTCATACATATAAAATGCATTTCTTATACATAATATTATAAATCATTTACTATTATACATAGTGAGTTATGTGTTCAAAGAAGTTTGTTTTTTATACCATAGCATTTTTTTTTTTTCAAATAAAATCCGCCACGGCATTCCGATTCTGACAGGACGATGACAATGGAGAGGTTCAGAGCTGAAATGAGAATAGGTGACTGTCAGTGTACAAGTTCACACCCTTCTGAGCATTTATGCAACATCTGCTACTCATGCTTATTAATCTACACTCCTTGAAAAACGATAATTTCTCAATATTTCCGTATAGATATGGTGACACCAATGACCACTTTGACCCCAGAAATGTTGTCACTTTTAAAGCAGGACTGCAAAAAATGTTTATTCCCTAATTTATACTCTCATTTCCTCAGATTGCTCAAAAACGTTGTAACCTAAAATTCAACACCTGGGTGTCAGGAGAACTCAGCTTCCTTTGAGGAAACATCAGCTGGCATGGGACGAGCTCTAAAAAAGCATCACATCCTCCGACTGTGCAGAGCTCTCTGTAGTCGCCTAAATTACACCAGATTGGTGATATGTACAGCATATGGAAACTGTAAGAAATAACAATTATTATTTGTATTATTCAAGAGCTCAAGTGTTTACTGCGGGACTAGTAAAACAGAGGTTAAAAAATATGTTGTAATTGGAAAAACCTCTGAAAGAAGACCTTTCAAAGAAAAAAGTTTCCAGTAAAAAAGCTAGATCTAGTGAATAGTATTGGAAAGTGGGGAAGTACAGCATGTTCTTAGCAATTTTAGAGAACAGAGACTTACTACCAAATAACTTAAGGAGGAAGTAATTTACATAAAATTCACTTTAAGAACACACACATAACATCCGTAAGTGATTTTTGACCCTCTCTTTGGCAGGGGATTTTATGATGTACATATCTGGGACAGGAAACATCTAAATTAAAAATGTGGTTTGACACGATTGCGATCATGACATTATGACAGGTTTCAGATGTGTTGTGATGTATCATGGCAACACGGTTTCTTCCTGTGTGACTGTGAAGCAAGTCTTGTGGTTGCTATGCGATGAGCTCATAGTGTAAAAATATCACTTATAAGAAGAAGAACAGAGGTCCTTTGTGCCGTGGGGCCCAGATAATTTAAGTTGTTGAAGAAAAGTGTCACACGTCTTTCCTTTCTCCTTATTCATTCGGGCTCTTTCACACACTCAGGCTTCAGGCTCTGACTGCTGTAGAGAGGTTCCAATAAGTACTGGGAGAATTTGAGTTTCTCACTTTTACAATTTCTGCCAGGGAGAATTGCTGGCAGATTGTGTCTTGGTGGAAAGTTCTCAAACAAAGTAATAAAACATTGAACTAAAAGTTGAAATACAAGTGTGTCTGTTGTTTCAGTTATTTCCTGATTTGTCTATGTTTTCATGTGACTGTATTTTTTATTTCCTTGTAAAGCTCTTCAACACCAATTTGTAAACGCTTTATGAACAAATGCAGCAATTGTTAACATAAATAACTATTTAATTACAGCATAAAGTGTGTTGAATAGTATACGTTTCATATGAAATCCGTTTTTTGTCTGAAATGTTATCTTGGATTTCAATAGAAAGCATAGATAAACACTCATTGTAAAACGTTTCTGAGCCAGTTAGTTCGGAGCACAGAACATTTAAAAACTCTCTCAGCAGATGATTTTCCATCCAAACTATTGTGCAAATGGATGACAGATGTGACTCACCCAGTATCAGGAGGATCCACCTGCCCGCCATGGTGAAAAAGGAAACACTGTCCAGATCTCTATAAGAAAAGTTCAGATATCCAAAACTGGAAACTTCTACATGTAGATCCAACAGCTCTTTTTCCTCACTTGTCGTCTCCTACTGACAAAATGTGAAGTGAAATCCACCAGTCCCTTTAATGGACAAGGAAAAAAGCTATACTGTATGTTAATACCAAAAAAATCAAACAGCTGGAATCACTAGTCTCTCATCTTATACGTGACCTCTCCTTTTTCACTCTCCATGACATCTGCCTTCTTCCTAACGGGGTAACATGCTGAGTAGACTACTTTTTCTGGGGAGGGTTTTTTTTTTCTCTCTCTTTCTCTCTCTCTCTCTCTCTCTCTCTCTCTCTCTCTCTCTCTCTCTCTCTCTCTCTCTCTTTCACTGAATCATGCCTCTCACACAGAGAGGTTTGAAGGGGAGTACAGCAACTACAGTTCATAAAAAGTAACTCCTATTTTGGTTGGGTGATAGTGAGAGGAAACAGCTGCTTAACAGGTTTTTTGCAAAGTTAATTTCTATCTCTCTTCTCTCTGTCTTTGTTCCTCTACCTGTATATTTCCCGTCTTTTGGACTGTGGGACAGACAAGGGTCAAGGGGAGTTTATGCCACTGGTCATTGTCCTGCTGGTGGGTACACCCTCCCATTAGCAGATATTCAGTACTATGGCATTGACATGTATATAGCTTTTGCCTCTGAGTGCATCTGTTTGAGACAATTTTAACAATGTCCATTTGGGAAAAGAGAACAAAGGACACTTACTTCTTTTATAAGTCTCCACTCCCTTATGGCAGCCCTAGAGCACTCAATTATTAATAATAGAAGAAATAAGATGTAAGCAACAAAAAACAGTGCAAGCTACAAATCTATCTTTTCTTGAGGTTCGAAAGTGTCACAAATGAATGAAGAGGAAATGGAACATAATGTTCCTTCCTTCATCACACATTTTTGACTCAAGGTGTAGCCCCTGCTAAAAGTAACTTTACTTTTGCAGTCTTTCATGGGTTGTATTGGCTCAGGGATACAAAATCTGAAGGAAATCCGAACATTCTGAAGCGCTTAAAAGAGCCACATAATAAAACAAAATCAATTGTTACACTTTCAGCAACTTTCTGATTTCCAGCTTCGGGGTAAGGTCATTTTCAGGTTTTAATACACTGTCCCAAAGTTCACTGCCTTTTTTTACACTCCTAAACAATTGGGTGGACTTTGGGCTTTGTGTGCTTGGAAAATGGAGGTGACAGACAACAGGCCTTAGGGAACGGTGCAGTTTGTTACTTAGATGCTCACAGACAGGCCTTGAATGTACTGACATCAGCATGACCTATAAGAAGAACTGCCTGCAAATAGGCCTGTAATTTACATATTCAAAGTGAATCTATTTTTTTACAAGAAATGTGTTCCAGTTCTGAAATATTTCATCTTGATAAGTTATTTAAAAAATATAAAACAATGACAACGGTATGTTATAGTTTTGAATAAGTAATGTAGCTTTCAGTCCTATAGCTGTGTAGTGGTGCTAGCTCATGTATACATTGGTGGATGAGTGGAGTTAAAACTAAATGAATCAAAGACTGAATCAAAAAGCAAACTGTGAAGAGAGGAAATCGGAACTGGCTGAATAAAAACATGAAACACGGTAAAACACAAAATCACTATCACCAACCACCATTTTTATAAAGTCAATATTTATTCTGAGCATAAAGAACAAAAGGTGGAACTCGAGCTAACGCACCAGATAGGGTCTTTTCCCTGTAGCATTCTCACTTACGGCACATGATGAACTATGAAAGCTGTTCATCGCATAGCACACAATGTGCAGTCATGATGGGAATGGTAATAAATCATCCAGGATTGGGGTACACACTTATTCTCACAGTTTACCATCAAATACACAGTTTGCAATCACATACGCAAATCAAATAAAAAGGCAAGAAAATACTGTTTATTTACAGAACAACTAGAAGTGTTCGGAAGGGGTCAAAAAAGAAATGACTGTAGTCAAAGCAACATATTGAAGCACGCTCAACAATAAAAAGGCCTGTTTTAACTTAACAGCAATGGATGCCACTGGCTCACATATTGGATCTGCATTATTGTCTGTCTCTGATGATGTGAATAATCTTTGGCGGAGGATGTTGGGATCCCTGCCCACTAAGCTGTGCTGAGCTTGATGAATCCTTGCCAGGAGTGATGAGTTCTGAGCCCGGTATCACCTCTGTACATACTCTGGACTCAAATTATGAACCTGTTTCATTTGAGTTGGCGGATTGAACCATGGTGTCTTGTTCCAGTTTACTTCTTGTTGAAAGAGTGATTTCCAGCCATATGATCATGGCAGCCATCCAGGGCTTATCCTGTTATCTCACAACCTTTTTCCTGTCCATATCAAGATAGTGTACATATAGAGTTTTGGATGTTTTGTGTTGGCTGTGTTTGTTTTCTTTTTGTTTACTTCTGAATTCTCAAACAATGAGGAAGGACCTCAATGTGGCCCAGCTGTCTCAACAACTTCCTGACAAACCCTGAACAAAAAGGTCAGAGTGGAGACTGACTAGTCTGGTATAACCCCTCTGTCTTACAGAGTCCACTGAGACTTAGTCATTTCAAAGTGTTCAAATGTCTGAGGTGCATTTATATTGCCAAAGAAGCTATGCTGATGATGTCATCCTTGTGGCTGCAGCAGTGTACACGAATGGTGTCCTGACTCCTTTCACATGCAAATGTACATAGCCAGTTATAATGACTTTAATAATGGTGACTATATTTTAAACTTACTTCCTCTACCTTGAAAAATATACCTTAAAAGCTTGTTATATTGTTTTGGATACGGTTGGACTGGATCCTGTTGCTCTACTGCACCATATGTGAAACATTGACGATACAGTAGGTGGCTGGTGGTTAAGCAAAATGCTAGCCTTTTAACTTATTAACCACACTAGGGAGTGGCTGGCAGAGCTGTTATATCCTGCCAGACCATCGGCAAGTTCCTATTAGGATATGGAAGCAGACAGAGAAAGATGGCCTGAATAGTATAATAAATACAGAAGGTCAAACTGTCTTTTTTCCCTTTTTACTGTGAAAACTTAGTCAGTAAACCCATAAAACTGTTTTACTGTACAAATTCCATTTCCCTTATTTTCCCCTTCTGGTTCCCCTTTTGTTACAGGGGCCCAAAGCAGAAAGGAGGCACAGTGCTTTATATTTGCCAAAACTATAAATGTAGTTTCAGAAAGCCACTGCTAAACATTTAAGCACAGTTTTAGCATCTTAACAGAAACTACTTTGTATACAAAAGCTTTTATTAATTGATGTTATTTTCTATTTTCTTCAGTCTATGTTTTTTGATTTTGTTGTGAAACATTTTGCACTTTGAAGGTAAAAGTAAATGAAAGCTTATCATGAACCATACTTTATTTCAGAGAAAACTCCTTGACAGTGTTCCAGAAACTCATAGTACTGCATGTTACAGTGCAAGTTATATTTAACATAGCATAACAAATATATGTATACATCTGCTTTTTTAAGTTTAGCAACTTCCTTTTTTCGGTTCATAGACATTTCTACTGAGAATTTTAATGATCTTTTATTATTAACATTTATTTATTAACATGATTTATTTATTAACATTATGAATAATTTATGACGTGTTTTCAGTTTACATTGGACCAAATTCAGTTTCCTGTGTTGTTTTTCTTTCCCACCAATAACCTAGATTCCTAGAATATACTTTTCAATGCAGTGTGCAGCTCCCTGACACTGTAGGCTACTAAATGTCACTATGTGTGCTAAATGTCATTTCCCTTATATAGGTGTGAAAGAATAGTTTCTGAGCTGAATTCTCAGAAAGGGAAGTGACAGTGTTGAAATAAGATGACGACATATCTTGCACCATTTTGTGTTAAAGAATCACTTGAGTTTTGTTTTCATTTTTGTCAAAGTTGAACAATGCAAAAACACACCAGGAAGCGTATTCTCTGACAGATATAGATTACAGGTATCTTCATATACTGTATACCTGAAGACTTTTTTTGATTATTAGATATAATATATTTTCATTTTGTATTTCTACAGAATCAAATGACATCAAACCCTGAGATTAAGTGTTGGAGTAGTGTTAGCTAATAAGCAAATATATTAAAACCATTTGCAAGAGATATCAATCTCTGCACCTTTGCTTTCTAAAGAAAACACTTAAAGTTGTTAAATGTGCTGTTTTGCTATGTGCTGATAAGAATCTGCTCAGATTAGGTTTACATTTGTGCAAAGACTGTGTGTGGACTGCATCTACTACTTACTGTGAAGGTTTTGCCAAAATGAAATAGCACATCCCAGTGGAGAAAGTGGAATACTACACCACCACCCAAACATATCCTCCTGTAAATTGAATTGCAAAAGTTGGAAACATTGGATGTCCAGTGGGAGCATTTATCCAAATTGTTGTATTGTAATCTCCATCGTGAAGGTCCCTTCTACACCACATTGCTTTTCAACGTTCACAATATGTGCTATGGATGCAATGCTTTTAAACTATCAAGGGCCCGTTTGTTTACCTTCCATTTTTTAAATTAGTAAACACATTCTACTTGGTGGTGCAGATTAGGGCTGAGGAACTCTCAGTAGAGGCCGTAATATGTGTATGATACCTTCAGTGTGGAGAATTATTCTTATCAGGCGAAATGTGGAACAACAATTTACCTCCTGTTATTGGGTTGGAAATTAAGGCAAAGCACTAACTCAGCAAATTCAGCAAATTTAAGGAAAACTCTTAAAGATGCTGACTTGAGCGTTTTTTAACACGATGCTGGTTTACATGTACATTAACAAAGCCAGAGGGCTGCTCCAGGGCAAATGATCAAACTATGTTTAATGTTAACAGAAAAATATTTAAGAGTGTACAGTTGTAATCATATTAAACTGGATTAAAGATGGTATGCACTGTAATTCTCACAAAGTACATGGTACAGTTTATTCTGTTATTGTTGCTATCAACACACTGTTAAGCACCACCACTGCATGTTTTATTGCAACTAGAAAACATGCAGGCTCCATTGTAGTTTGTAGAAAATAGTACTTAATCAGTCACATGTAGAAACACTTTTTGTTATATTCCATGGAATGCTCTTAACATCCCGATAGCAATGAATATATTAAATGTTTTGACAATAAATACATAAAAAAAATTAATCTGTGGAAGCCGTAGCACTGTAAAAAGCACGACCAATCATTTTAGCCGGCCCGGCTAAAATAACTGGATGGCCTACCTGCCTGTCAGCCT